ACTGGTTCTCTTGATAACGGAGATTTATTCACACACATGAGTCACGTGCATCGTCAGACAGATCATGACTCTTGATAACCAATCACAACAATTCTCGTTGAGCATCTTCGATTCTGTTTGGACGGTAGGTTCTTCAGAAAGCGTAATTTTTATATAAATCCAGTAAAAATTCCCAGAGTAATGTAGCTTCTGTTTTTGGGGCGGCCTTTTCACTTCAAATTGGTGTCTGATTTGATTTACATGTGTAGTCGATATAATGCGGTCCACTTGTATTTTGTACAAAATACTTCAAATCCGTTCAACAGCAAGCTGGGAATCCAGGTTGATCTTCCGTCAAGAAAATTCTTTACGTACACACTAGTACTAGGCACGAAACGATGGAAACGCGCTCCAAGATGGTGATTAAAAGCTAGCCCTGGTTGAACACTTCATTCTTTCTTGTGTAGCGCTGGTTCCAAAGCATCCTGGAGAACTCTGACACGCCTAGCGCGGAACGCTTTGGATTGAGATACTTTTTGAGGTACTGCTGGACTTGGCGTCGTACGGCAAGTCTGCAAAAATTTGTCGATGATTTCCTGGATATTTTTTTCTCCCTCCATTTTAAGCAATGCTCATTTAAACACATCGGCAAAACGTTCAGTCTGCCTGTTTGACGGTGGATGGTATGCTGGAGCGCGTATGTTTTCGATACCATGTGAATTTCAAACGTCCACAAATTCTTGAGAAGTGAATTGAGAACCATTGTCCAAAACAGTCGTTTGGGAGACACCAAATCCTGAGATAAGATGGCGTAAAATTTCTTGCTATTGCACTACTCTTTGTGGCAAAACCCTCACGAAAACTGTGCATTTCATTCCCATTGCCAACAACCAGGCTGGCAATATCGAGGCATGCTACGTCGTGGGCTACCGTAACTGATATACCACATCGGAATGAAGGCCCACCATATGACGACACACTTGCAGCGCAGTTATGCTGCAGCACGAACACAGATTGGTAAATGAAACGGGGAATAGCGACGCTGGTTTGTCCTGATCTCGTTGCTTTTCAGGACGTCCCGGCTGTGGCACACGCAACCACATGTATTGCAGCGCTAAGGATATGGCGACAGCGAACTGTAACTGTCGCCTCGATATCGGGAAATGGTGTTCTTCGTGCACTAAGCTTTTTGCTCACACCTGGATTATGACACTCCTGCTGGGGCCAAGTCTTTGGCGGTGTACGTCTTCAAGTTCCTCCCGGGATCCGAGATCACCGTTAGCTTATGTCATATTCACCTGATTTATGTCATTATAGCGTAGATTCCGTTTGCGAACCTATATTTAACTAACAGTCAACAGCAGATTATGGGGTCTGCTGAATGTATTCACTGGGTGGCTTGCTACTAAACCACCTAGGATGCCGCAGCAACGATACGTGCTTCATCCCGTAAACGTCGCTTCTGGGAGCCAGTTCGACATCCATGATGTCGTCTTACCAAAGGATGCACTGGGTCCACCGCAACCATCTTCCAAAAACTCATTCCGAACACACAATGGCTTTGTTGTGTTGTCCTCAACTGCTCGGCAACGAGCACACCAAGGCGATCAGGGACAGGGTTTCTTCCATTTGAGAGGGTACTGTCATGTAGCAGACAAGCAGCGCTCAAGACCAACACCAAGGCACTGAAACACCGGACAGAGTTAGGTAATAACAGTTTCAAAAACCCTTAATCAGACGCATTCAACGAGGGATAATTTATAGTGGCAATCTATGAGGGGAACTGTGGTAAGTCACCAGAAACAACGGCACTTAACAACCAGGAAGGCTGTCCAAGTGGTGCATTAAAACAAACGCCAAGAAACGCACGCGACAGATAAAAAATTGCAGTTACAAGCTGTCACAATGCGCAGCACAGTTAAGCGTTTCCCATAACTAGCTTTTGTATGGCACCCATGCATTTATGTTATGGAAAAGGGTTGACATCACCATAGAATTTCATACGAACAACTTTGTTTTGCCAGTCAGTTAACGTTTCTTCTACACCCAATATCTCAGTTTATCAAAAGCCACATCAAGCAGATACAGTTGGCCGCTCATCCTCCCAAACGGGTTCGCAGAGAACAACCGATGTAGAACCGATATTTTGTGTCACCGGGATAAGACGTGGTATAATCATACCAGCTGCAACGTGCTGCACGCTTGCGCAGCGAAGTGAGGAAACTTTGGGATAGATCCCCGTGGGACCTACACCAGATGATAACAAGCGATCGGATGTCGCAGCACTTAAGACATGCTTATGCAGTGCTGTATTTGCGCAGCAAATACTGTGGAGAATGCAACCAGATAAGCTTTTGCTTAAGCAACCTCCTTCAGCTATCCGGGTTTCACCGGTTGTTGCCATATCAATTCATGGACAGGGCACGGCTCGACCCACCTTGGTTTCAATGCTCTCCGCGTAGATACGATTTGACAGTGAGTGGTGGGGTGTGTGTATGGGTAGAGACTTGGGGTTGCTATTACTAATATGTATAGGGTAAACTGGGAATTAGTGGGGAGGGGCGGGGCTAATGTGAACTAAATGCCACCAGTACCTTGGTACTGACCCATTCCGCTGTATGCGGTAGACACGGTTACTTTCCTCCGAATGTGGAATTGCTGATTTGGTTTATAAATGCCTGTATTTGCGTTATTTAGTGCTTGTTTTTGGAATATTATTCTATCGGGGGACTCAATTTCACACAGTAGAACGAACAGGCTCGGATAAAATAATACCCAAAAGACCATCGGAATGTGCCTTGCGATTGTACACATTATCTAGCTGCAACACAGCGGTCTCCACGAAGAATCCGGGACGTGACTAGATGCAAATAGCTCGGTAACACTTTGTTAGGAGCATGCCACAAATTACTTCAGTGAGCCGAGGTCTTTCCCATCTGTAGTTGTTCAGTAGTATTTAGAACGGCACTAGCGATGCCATTTACGTTTAGTTGAAATATTTTACTTGTTCCTCAGCTAATCGATAATCCATCGAGATCACTGCAACAGAAAATACACTAGCATCTGCGGGAACTTATTCTAAAGTTAAAAAAAGTAAATCGCTAGCTGTACGCCGTAACGGCGCTTCGCTGCCACTCGACCACCACCAGTCGCGCGTGGGCTGAGTATACCGCGAGGACGCCTGCCCCTACTCGGACAGCTTCGAGGCAAATGAGGAAAACTGCTCCACTGCTCGCTCAGCACCATCGTTCGCAGTGGTATGGAAGTTCTCAGTGGGAAACAATCGGAAAGCATCCATTTACAACAATCAACCGGGCTTTTAATCCCCTTGCTAAAAGGAGGACAAATTGGTACTGACAAGCATGCAGGTAGAAAAAAGAAAGGCCACTGGCAGTTACGCAGCCTTCAAAAACCTATCAACCGTGTGTGCTGCCTATGGTGGCGGAATGAACGAAATGAGACGAAAAACCAGTGGAGCAACTCACACGAGATGACTACTGTTCCACAGGTAACAGTCACGGCAAAATCGATGCGGTCTAGTGCTAGAGAAAAGCGGTGCGCTCGTAGCCAAAGAGAAGGCGGATTGACCTGTACGAAAAGCACGCGCGCGCGTGAACGAATCTGGGTTGACGACAGCGTGCGACATTGCCTGGTCAAGTGCACGAGCCGCGCTGGTGGAATGTTAGCCAATCGACACGCAGACCACATTGACAGTGCAGAGCTGATGCCAGTTACCAAGCTCAAAACTCAACATAGCGCCGAGTAGAGCAGAAATAAATTGGAGCGATCAAAGCAGATGAACGACACGAGAGAACGAATGAGCTTAAGCAGATGATCTACGGTATGACAATGGGAAATCAGCGATGAAATGCTGCCACATCGAAATAATACTTAAAATTCACCTGCAATATAAATGAACCTATGGTCCACAATTAAGAGATTTTAGTCGCTTCACAAACTTTGTTTTCGATCATCAGATGGCTGTACGACACTAGGTACTCCTAAGCGTTCACATCAACCGTCTTTCTCTTATGCATTGTAAAGCAAAACTCAAACTTGTAATTCTTGTGCCGCGGAAGCGTATTAAGGAACTACTTAGTATGCCTGTAACCCATTAATACGTGCCGCACAACATCAGTCATCCAAATGCACATCGGTGATGGGAACAGGGGAGGTTATCATTTTGGACTCTGGCGAACGATGAGCTTGGTGACTAGTCGCTTCAGAAGTTGGCTGTAGTTGATCTCTGGTTCAACGAATCAACGCATTTGGTGAAAAGCATTTGACACGGTATAACTCATAGACTTCACTGTGGACTAATAAGTAACGCTGTCGAGTTGACACTTGCCTGCTCCAAAGAGTATGTAAAAGGAAAGACCAATTCTCACATCTTCTTGGGAGATGGAAGAAAAGTCGGCGCAGCTGCTTAGCGGGTTAACTAGGAGATTTGCTCGCTAGGTTGTCGGTGATTCATATGAGTAAGGTTATAGCTTCAAATGCGGAAGAGCTCGGCACATATGCGCCGCTGTGGGGTCCCAGTCAGCCGATATGAGCGTCTAGCGCATCTCCGGATAGTGGCAGCTGCCTGGCTGCGATAACCCTTCGCAAGGGATCAGTAGCACCTGATGTTGTGATTGGAACGAATTCAAGGTATCCCTTTAGCTAAGAAGTATTTATGTGTTGCGGAACATAAGCATCAGGGAAGCTAACTTACTACACGTTCAGTTCAAGTAGCACCAGAAGATTCAAGGATCCTGTCATTCTGTTGATTGTATTCAAAAACCGTTTATGTATGCACTTCGTCAAACTGACTGGGCAAATGTGGAGAAAGCTAGATCAGTACGCATTCAATTTGTGCATCGTGTGTGTATGTGCGAATTACCTAGCCTTACTTTTACCTCATGCTTTTTATGATCAGACCTTTGAACAGTACAGTTCACAGCGCGGTCGGAATTTTGTGGACCGAGATTCCTGTAACATATACGAACGCACGTTACAACATTCTGCTTCTAATTGCACAGGCTCGGCATTACGGGCACCAACAGCGAGCCGGCCTTATCCCATCTGAGGTGCTGCAAGAACGTCGCAGAGCCCATGTCCAGAGTGCGCCGAATGCGGAGGAGCTCACTTACAGAATGGTCGCTTGTGGATTGGCACGTCGCCGTCGAAAAAAGGTTTTTCAGTTTGCAAGCAATTTTTATCAATTCCATTGGCACCATATATAGTGTGTACCTTATGACGTGTGTGTGTGTGTGTATGTGTGTGTGTGTATTTTCGACTGTGTCTGGATTTCCGGCTTAACGTTGCATATATTGTGCTCCCTCGCCTCAGTTAGTTTAACCTATTTAGATCAGGTTGCTTTTAGTGATGTAATGTCGCTTGTCTCTCACATCTTCATTGTCCAAACCCACACTGACCAATGTAGTTTTATTTTTGGATCTACACATTTTCCCTCTGGGGCAGCGACTGGCTTCATGATGTATCCTACCGGAATGAGGATAATGAAATCAATTTTTGTCCCTGCTATTGAGTCGCATATTTCAATGTTAGCGTAATCGCCTTTTGTTAGCTCTGTCCGTAGGGGCACTCCTGCCGGCGATCGCGTTGCGCTACATTGGATGGCATATGCTGCGTTTGCCGGGCATGAACGCGCTCGATGTGAATGTCGACAAAATGTTGACGCATCTAGTGCAGCCACCTCGAATATTGATTCCAAGAGAGCGTCAAGCGTTGCGTGCAGAGATGGACGTCATTCTTCGTGACATCGGTTAATTCATTACTGGAAGGTTTACGAGACACTTTCCTCCCGTTACATAATTGGTGCGTGTATTTTCACCCAGATTTCACAGTAGTCGGTAGCTGGCATGCAACTAGCTTGCGCGCGTTAAATAGAACAATGGAACTATGGTGTGTTATGAGTAAAAAAGCGGATGCTTAGCAAGTCTCGTAGGATGGCCAAAAAGAGAATCACAACATGGTGAATAGAAACCAAAGGGATGAAATGAAAATCGCTTAGATGGACTCACCACAGTGGTAACACAGAGGCATGCAGAAAGAGCCAACCTCGGTTGTGTAGGTTAATTCTGGTTGTGCAACCTTCGTCACATTATGTCGTCCGTCGATGTACGCAGGCTATATTTCGCAATGTAGGTGGGTTACGGCAACGCCAAGGCGTATTTTAAACACAGATACAGTGGGGGCCGGAACAACGTAATCTGGGAGGGCGTTCCATGGCCAGTACATACGAAGAGAGTAAACGTTCCGTCAACATTCTAGCCGACTGTATTGCATAGCTAACTTGAACTCGTGATCCCTCAAGTTCGTGTTGTTACTGTGTTGCAGTAGGTGGCAGCAGACGTAGTTGAGGTTTCACAAAATCTGGTGGGCCATCATTAGGTCACCACGTAGGCGCCGATGCCGACCGCTGTACAATCTTAGAGCCATCAGCCTAAGTTGATATGGGAGATAAAACAACCCTATGACGTGCTTTGTGGCTCTTCACTGCGAAATCTCCAGCGTTGAAAAATCTTGCTTATGCCAGGGCTGCCAGGCCTGGATTGCGTATTTTTCACGAGGCAGCACGTAGGTGTTAAGCAACCGCGAACAGACAAACGGATTCAACCACCCGAATGCCCTCCGCAGCATGCCAACAGGTTGATTTCCAGCCTTTGATGCCTTCTCAGATTGATCTGCGCACCCCACATCAGCCTGAATTAATGCCCCAAGGTCGTGCTCCAGGGTGACTGCTTGCATGACATGGTCTCCAATCTGGTGACGTGTGTGGACCACCTTACACTTAGACGAAGTACACTGAAGCAGATTCCGAAGTGGCTATTCATACGCCCTGTCTAGGTTTCGCTGAAATGCATCATGATTTCCCTGGTCACTGATCATCTGCCACATCTTAACATCATCAGCGAAAACAAGATATCCGAACCAATCAAACGCACATGCTTGTTAATGAACACGAGAAACGGACGCCGCCCCAGAACTGATCCTTGTGGAATTCCACATTCGACATGAATCGGAAGGAATAGCGCGCTCCGAACTCTAACATGCAGTTGCTGATACTGCAGGAAATTCCTAATCAACCTAAGGACAGGATCCGCAACTTCATAGCTTTCGAGCCCGAGAAGCCGAATGCAGTGATCCAGTCGGTCGAAGGCTTTGGAGAAGTCGAGGTAAATAACTTCCGTCCCTCTGCCTTTGTCGGTCGCTTACGTCCAGCTACTAGGCGAAATCAGCAGGTGGGTTGTGCATGGACGATGTTGACGAAAACCGTGCTGTTCAGGTGTTATGATGATTTTGTGGCGATCTAGATGGTCGACCAAAGCCTCAATGATGATTGGCTCCATCACTTTTGAGAATGCAAGGATGAGGACCACTGGGCGATAGTTTGGGGGTTCCGTGCGAGTCACTTTTGAAAATTGGCGCGATTAGACCGTGTTTCCACATGGTAGGCACAATTTGCTCATCCAAGCACGTTTGGACGAAATGCGATAATGGCTCGGTCAGCGTTGTTGCCACTGCGTTCAGCGCTCTCGGGTGAATGTTATCGATCCTGGGAAAACTGTAGTTGCGCATTGAGAGTAATTTCTTCAACACAGATGTGTCAGTAAAAGCGATATTAGGGAGTGCTGAAATTGGGGCTATGAATATAGGTAGGTAGCAATGGTGGACGTCTCCTTGGAATGTCGGGGCAAACAACATCTGTAGGGCATGGGCTGCTTTTTCAGCGCTCTGTGCCACTCAGACTGTTGTGTTAAGTGTGACGATACCGTGCTTTACTTTCCGAATGTTGTTAACCTGATTATGTAGGTTTTTTGTTATTAACAAATTTGTCCTCACAGACAAGCATATTACAATGGTTGCACTGAGTCACGCTGTCGCTCCACATGTCGGGACCAGGACAGGCTCTGTAAGTGTGTCAAGCTGCATTCCTCAGTGATATGCATCTGCGAGTTCTAATTCCGATGAATGACGATGGATTGGTGGAACAGACCATTTTACTTTTTGAAGCCGTTGTGACCAGATTGCTGACGTGCCCAACAAACTGGATTCACGCGCTGTCAAGAGGGTAGCCTTTCAAGAATTTCCAATCTGTCGCTGCAACCAAATCGTTCAGAATGTTGTAGTGTGTAGTTGTGCGTGCTAGTTTAGTGTGTTCCTCCGGATATTCAACGTGACACACGTAGTTATAGTGTCGTGACATGAACACTTAGCCATAGTGGGGTGTGTCTATAAACGGCCGGTCGACCATGAGTTCCACATTTGTAAGTACGAGGTAAAGTACCAATGGTTTGTTATCAGCTCTGTACCTGTTAGATGAAGTGATGTGATTGTACAGTGGAATACTTGTGATAAGGTCTTGCAGTTCGGCCTTGTATGTTTCGCTGGGGGGTGTCGAGGATTTCAAGTCGTGCACGCTGAAATCGCCGGAGATAAGAACGTGGCTGTATGTTGGGAGTGGAGGACTGGGGGCGATAATTGATTGCAACGGAGCAGTTGTCATTGTATCTGAGACGCAAACGGCCGCATAGCGAATCGGTGATCTGCGTCTCCGAATCATCCGGTGGTTCACATTGTAAGTGGTTGAGGTAGTATAGGATTACACCATCTTCCCTGCTGGGCCGATCGTATGGGAACAGTGCCATTCCCTGAACCTCTCTATTTCGGCATCCATAACCGCTGAGTGCAACCAAGTTTCGGTTATGGAGATGAGATCCCAAGAGGTTGTTGCCTGTTCCAACCGAAGCTCGACAGTTTTGGGCATTGGTGTACATGCAGGAATGAGTCTCGGTTCTCAGCAGAATCTTCTCATGATTTGTGTTGCACCCACAGTCTTTGGATGTTGGCATTTCTCGGGGATACTGTCAAGTGATTCATAGTATCCAGAAGCGATGAGCGTGTCGAAGGAGTGTGGGTAGGCATTGAAATAAGCGAGGCTTCCATCCGCCTGCATACCGATCCTATTCCTTTCTGAGTTGCATTGAATGCGGGGAGTGTAAACGGAGGTGTGAGTTGTGGATCGTAAGCGATCCACGGTCTCCTTGCAGACGCAGACATCCTTTAACAACCAGGACTCACAAAGCGGAAGCGGCTACAGCTAGTGGTATGCGATTAATCTTAGTTTTTCGTTACTGTACTAAAGTGGCTCTTCATTCGGATTTGGCGAAACAAAATACAGTCTCTTCCATCAACAACGTAGAGATCAGCTGCCCAGCAAAAGTGCTAAAACGAACTCCTCCTGCTACTCAGAGCAGTATTACTGGTGAATTCTCAGCTGGTCATCTACGCGTCACCTCGACTGAGTGCGCAGTGTATGCCTTCGGATGTGTGTGTGTGCATCAGTGCGTAACAAGTGTCTTCGCCGTTGTGGTATGTTCCATGGTCTCCATAACATGACTCTGCTGGACTTTGCATTTTCGGTAACCCACACGAAAGAATTCAGATACCTTATTATGTGCTATGTCGTGTGGGTCTTACAAATGACACGACCATAGTGTATGTTATGAGCGCCCAGATTTAGTTGCGTCAACATAAATAGTGAATCATAGTTGAGAGTCTGGATACATTTAAAGCTCACAGACAGCACGCAGACTCAAATCTTTCAGGCTCTCGGTTTCCACACACGGGGTCAACATTCTAGCGCCTTTGTAGCAAATAGCCGTGCTGATATTCAATGACTAAAATAAATATTCATCATCTGAGGATTTGGAAGCCTGGATCCTGATCGAGAGAAGCTTTTTCTTGCTCACACACAAATACACTATCAAATGTACCGTTTGCGATGTCTATCTGCTTCGCCATTCGTCCTGATCTGCGCATCAGTATGTTCGGGAAAACAGAGGATGGTACAATTTGAGGTTGTAAGGTATAGTGCTCTGACGAAATTGCACCTTTATTATCTATCATTCATCACATGTATACATTACGTTACAGGTTGTTGCTACATTTCGCGCTATGGATGCCGAACAATTTGAAACGAAAAACCTTGTGCTATACGAGGAGGTCGCTCTCATCTCCGGATTTCAGCGCCCCGTAATTTGCCTCATTGGGGCCTCGGGAGTCGGCAGGAGATCCTTACAGAGGATGCTGGTCCGATCCAATAGAGAGCGTTACGCAACGGCAATACAGCGTAAGTGTGCTTGGTCTGTGGGGAATGAGTTGGCGTCCGTGCTATTTTTATTATTTTCTCTATCATTGATATAATTGAAAGCAATAAGCTCAGCTCCGACCTACCAGAGTTAGTTCGTAAAAGAAATTAGCGAAGTGGTGTTCGTGTGCCTTTTTGTAATCTTGTCTTCCAGGAGCTAATTCGGTGCGGACTGAGTTTGGGTGCATAATTCGCACTACAAACAAAAATATAAACGGCATCTTGGTGCACAATTTGATTGGCCTCCCAACGGGAAGTGGCTCTTCTCGGACGCAGCGATACTCATCCCATGGTAGAAACGTTTTGAATTCAACCGATAACTGCACTCCTTCGGCGTGGTACGCCAAGCCAAGCCATATTCCGAGCTGCGAATACTGACTCCTGATTGGTATGGGCCAAGTATTTAAAGTTTAACTTTGTAGCTTCGATAAATCTTACTAACAGTCATATAATTCGGGGTGTGGGCCAGACACTATAGCAACTAGCACCCACGTAGACAAGCCAGTGACAAATGGTTTAGTCCTGTTTGGCTGGCAGACATGTTGTGTTACTAGCCCGAGACCCTGGAACAGCTACTGACGATCACGTACAAAGTGTCCCACAATGCAAGGCCGTGAGATACAAAGGGTTACCGAATTCGTCCTCTGTGATACCCTATAAACAGTATGCTAATCCCTGGTGCAAACAAATTTTGATCGAATCCCAGTTTATATTTTCGCGCCTTCGGAAGGCTGCACGACATGAACCAATGAAGCTTATGCTTGTTCTTCGTACATTCGTGAGTAGCCTTCAGCTATTTGCACCGATTAGGCTTGCCACATTAAGGTTATTTGCCAATTTGATTGATCAGTACAGCGGCAATTTATGATTGGTCAGGTTGTGTTTAATCACGCTTTCACTTTATACTTTGTCTCTTCCGTTACCAGCTCAGTGCTTACGCATCTTAACCCTGTACGCTATGACTGTGCCCAGCATCTGTGTTTTTCTATTACTCTTTCTTAGATACAACGCAAGAGCAGGATCCAGACGAGGACGATGATACGGAGTTCATTTTGGAATCACACACAAGTATGGAGAAAGCTCATCGCGAAAACCAGTTCCTGGAAGTAGGTTTTCCGTGTTGTTCGTAGAAAATGTCATTGATGAACACAAGGCGATTAATCACAGGGCTTGTTTGTTTTAACCGGATCATGTGAGCGACCAGTGTAAACGAACCACTAGGACGGCTGATATCTCTAAGATTTGGCCTAACAGGAATCAAGCAGCGAATAGACGCGTATCTGTCGTCGGTGTGCCCGTGATAGACCCCGTAAATAAGGCAAGTGATCTACAGACGTTGTCTGGATAAATGTCCTCAGAGTCAGTAGTTCGCGATCACTCGGTGTGTTCAATTGTTGTGCATATTTTGACCGGGCTTTGCTCTATCGTCTGGAGACACTGGTAGCCTACATATGCTTCGTCCTCAGTGTGGTGCAGGAAAGCTATGCAACCCCTGTAAAGTAGTGCAGACTTAGTTAAAAGCCAGTTGGCAGGGCAAGGTTCCGGATTCGATCTTGAACGATTGTGGCGCAGAAATCAATCTGATAACCCAAGTGGAACTTGAGTTGAAGGTCGAAGAATGGCAGTGTAACAGCAGAACACAATAGTTCATTCCGCTGATTGTCGCAGTGATAAGGCGTTCGGAAGGCGCCTAAATTTGTCTAACAGCTGCGGAGGCTGGATATCCATTATTATAACAGAGATGGAGATTAGTCCTTTTACTTTCCTCAGCTCATCCGGCACACCTCTGGACGACGTGGGTTTGATTTACCGGATATGTATTCGATGGAATGCAGTGGAAAAAATGGGACAGGTCCTGACAGTCTGTATAGGAATGGGTTTCAGTCTGAACATCGGTTGGTGAGAGCAGTGGCTACTGGGCTTACTCTTCACCCCCTTACCCGTAGGTCGCTTGTCAACAAGCGATGCATCTAGCGCCAGACAACCTCCGCAATATAGCAGGCAAGAGCCTCAAAGTTGTCTTCCATCTAATGGTCATCGGGACGTCTAGCAGATTTACAATTTCGTCAATCGGAATTGCCTGGGTAGGGTCTAGCAAGAGTTCTATATATCATTTTATAGTCAGTTTGACTCATAACCCATTTGAAATTATCCATAGTAGATTCAGGCCGAGGAATAACGTGTTCCATCTAATGCGCTGGCATCTGTTGCTGGATATGCACACGTTACATGTGGCATAAGGGCCACATGTTTGTGTTTGAACGAGAACTAGCCGCTTGCAACGTGCATGCGTATTCGGCACTCAAGTAAACTAAAACTAGCTGGACCGTATTAAATACACTATGGATCAACTCGATTTGGATCACTTACAGATTGGTGCGACCATGGGACAAACGGTAGATAAGAAAAAGCGGCTGCAAAGAGATCTCTTTTCTGCAACTCACATCAGGCAAATACGTTTATCCTTGTAAAGGTATCTGCCTAACGTGAGTTGCCAAAAAGAGATGTCATTGCAACCGTGTTTCCCACATTCTTCTGGGTATTATCTACGAGTTTCGTAAATCCCTAGCTCTTTGGGCCAACGAGTAGACATAACTCGAGTGGTAATTCACCTAAATGACTATATATCCAATTCATTAGAGGTCTTCCTGACCGCAGTGAAAATGTGTTGGCTACATGTCGACCATTTGACGTCTAATTCTCTGTTCCGAAGTTCAAAATGCCAAGACAACATACACCGGGTGGTGGTTTAGGACTGAACTGGAATCATTCTGATTTCATCAGTGTCCATGATGGTCAGGTAAGAAGGCCGAAAGAGCAGACTGTTACAAGGGAAACCTTGAGTGCAGAAAGTGATCCAGCGCCGACCCACCAGATTTCGGGCATCACCTCTCACACTTGCATTTTCCATGCTAGCACAGTTGAACTCAAAATAAGTATTAAGTACTAAGCTGATGAAATCATTGTAGATCCGCTTAAACTCGCACTCACCGATCGTCTACCCTCATATCTGTATTCATCAGTTTGGTGAATATGAAGGCCACTACTACGGGACCAAATTGAACAGTGTACGTGAGGTGATAAACACAGGACGAACATGTCTGCTCGATTGCGCCGTTCACGCGGTGCCCAAAATACGAAACTCCGAATTCATGCCATACATCGTCTTTCTGGCCGCGCCGTCAGTCAGTTGCATGAAAGCAATGTACGAGTACGGAATGAGCATGGGCTTCACACACAAATGGAAGCGGGTAAGTGGTGTTTACTTCATCATTGTTGTGTATTCTGTCAGCATTCTTGACCTAGTCTAAACAGACAGGTGCACACAACCCCAGACACACACACACACACAAAGCGTCCAATTCTCTGCTTCCCTATTGGTTCATCATTCTCCTTGACACTTTTATGTACTCACCCAGTTAGACATTGATCAGATTACAGCAGTCCGTTTATCAGAATGACCTTTTAACTTGCTCGTGCGTTTTGACCTTACGTATACAACAATCATGTCAATCGGTTTCGACTATGCTGCCTTAGAAACCTGTTCCATTGTGAGATACTCAAAATGGAAGCCACGCGTTTCTTAGTATGCTACCATAGCTCACTCGGATAAGTCTCATGTTGCGCTGCCTAAGGCTTAGGCATGTACCTAGTTCCTAGAAATGATGCACATGCTTTAATGATCCTGAACAAACGAACTATCTGCAATGGATCCTTGGGCACCCTGATGAATGGATACAGATAATGCAAGGATTATTACCACATCCCAGCAGTACGAATCTGTCATGCGATTACATGTGTTGGTCCAAATTTAGAAAGTTCAGTTTGTGGAAACCCGTGAAAGCCGATCCAAATGCATCGGTAGAAGCAACGAAGGAAGTAGCACAAACGTAAGAGGTTTCTGAGTTCCGCATGGTTATCACTTTAGGAAGACAATGAACCACAATCGCGGTGATCAACCAACGGGACTGCGGGAATGGCAACGCGGTGAGTTGGCCGGCCGGAACGGATGTCACACGAGCTTAACCGCATGCTTGGGTTATAGCACAGGAAGGAGGGGGATCATGCGGCGGCCGTTCTACAGGCAGTCTGAGAATATAGTTCCAGCGGCATCTCTGTTTGTTGCATCAATGAGCACCTGAAGGAAACCCGACGCGTTCTCTCTAAACTGTAGATGTCCAATCGGCACGCTGTGTAGGAGCGCAAGCGTCCATGAGACTACGCGTAAGCTGTCTCAGTTGTCTCTCTGCGCCTTTTGTAGGGTCGCATGTGCAGTGGAGACTCGACTGCAAACTGCATCGTCTGACGGCAACTCTGACGCGGAGACTTGGTCGACCTCATTATCCAAAGTACACGATAACTTGACTCCGATACGACTGCGCACTGAAAGGAAAACCATTAACGGAGGACTGTGTGAGGACAACGAGCGCTGACTTCACTAGTGTAGGGCGAGGCTGACAAAAGAATCCGCATACACACACACACACACACACACACGGCAGTCAGGCTATTAATAGGCGAAGTGGTGAAGTTCTTTAAATTTGTCTATCGGATCACTGACTGGGAGATGGATCACGAGAATAAACCGCCGTCACCAAGTTACCCTCAAACCGATTCGTCTTACGTGCCTATTAATTAGCAAATGATTACAATGAACAATGAATTTATGCGGATACTGAAGTGATGCTTCCCAAGTCCCGTTGGGTAGTTGGTGGGGATAGCGAAATAACAATCATGATAATACTGCTAGTAAAACAGTTAGTACTTTAAATTTGAAAATAAGGACTTGTCTTTTGCTCAACCGTAGTCCTGCAATCCGCTTAGATTCACAGCACCCGCAGTTAACATCTAGTAATTCCATGGTAAACTCCATGTGTAGAATGAAGACGTAGTGCTAAGTGACAAAGTGTAAGTGGATGAGTGCGTCATCCAACCGCCTTATAAATACTGTTAGTGTCGGTGCAGAGACGACCGATTCTGGGAGAGCATTCCACGGGTGACAGCCACGAATGGAAATGCAATTTCTGCGGCACTCCAGGCGGCTATACTGTACAACAAGTTTCAATGAGTGGTCCCTCAGGATTGTATTCATGCTGAGTCGCAGTAAAGGGCGGCACATGTGATGTGGGTCTCGCAGAATCAAGTATGCCATAATCAGGTTGCCTTGTAGTCTGCGATAGCTTCCAATGAATACCCCCAATCGTTGCAACCTCTCCTGGTATGAAAGATCGCGCATTCCAATTACATTCTTAGATGCCCGACGTTGTGGCTGCTCCAATGCATTAAGGTCGTGTTTCAGCCAGGGAGGCCAGGCTTGAACTGTAGGACGAACATAAGCACTGAGCATTTTTCGAACTATGGGGCTTTTATTTGTCCAAACGCCCGTGTTGGTTCTCAGTCTTCCAGGCCTTTTCGCATTGACTGGAGCAACCCAAGTCATCTTGAAGTAGGACACTCGAATCACGTTCGACAGCTGATTGTTGCGGTATATTCGTTCCGAGCCTGTATGTGTAGCTGCTCTGATATAGGATGGAAAGTATCTTGCATTTACTGATGTTGCACTACAGTAAGTTCTGGGTTGACCAATGATATCGGCGTCACTCTGAAGCAGATGCTGGTAAGGGTACGTCTGGATCCTGCGTCAAATCTTGATATCGTCGGCAAACATAAGGACATTTAAAGCAATTGCCTGTGAAAGGTCGTTAATAAACACCACAAACTTACGTGGGCCTAGAACTGAGACTTGCGGCACACCATACTAGAATTATTTGGGGTACGATAAAGAGCTCCGAACCCTGACCACTAATTGCCGTTGAAATAGCAAGTTGGAAATCCAGCTTAAAGAGGGTTTCAGATCCCGTAATGCTGGAACTTGGAGAGTAGTATCCGATGGTCTACACCCCTTCTCAGTTAATTGCATCCATAACGCTTTCAAACTCAGCCTTAAGGAAATAGGTTTCGTCCATACATCTTTCAGAATCCTTCTTAAGGCAATCAAATATCATCCACCTGGCGCGAACGCACCAAAGCGCGCCCCTCGTTGGGTGACCAATCCCAAATCAACCATAGCATATCAGTCTAGTTTACAACATGAGTTGCCGCAGAAGGTTTGGGTGTGGCGCAGATCGCGTGCGATTTGGTGGGTGCCTAGCGCGCTCGAGACTCGTATTCAGGCATGAAGCCACACACATGCTAGGGGGTATACTTGCAAAACTCACGTGGTGCCATCTGGGCTTAGCAGTCACGAATGATCATGGTGGTTGGCACTAAACCTTTCAGGCATTTCCACTTATACGTGAAATATGATTGCGTGGTGTGTCCGCCCATTTCATCGCTGAGCTGTCCGTATACTGCGAGGCACCCATGTGAATGAGTGCGAATGAATTGGCCCTTGGGAATAGTGACATGAAGTCGCTTACAAATACCGTTGTCGATGATCGGCTGGCATGGAGATTGGGCTAGTGACACCGGAGGGACGTGGACAGTGTGTGGACCGCGGTGTGTTTCGGGGTGCCGCATGCTCACTGAGCGCAATGTTGAAAGGTCCGCCTCTGATGGGTGTAGCGATTCGAATCAGGATGAGTGCGCGCGCAGTGCGCATTGGCATCCTCACCGAGGTTTCACTCGCCTTTGTTATGCCGTTCTTCGACTGAGCTTGTTCCTGGAAAATATTTCATATCGTTGCGTCATGGTTCCCATTGCGGTTGCTAAGACATGTAAGTGTCTGAGTGATTCCTCCAACCGTTCTCACACATGATTTGTATTGTTGCGACACACAGTAACAGGAAATAGGATTCCGCAGCACTCGGGGTGGTTATACTATTCTGCCAGTTACAAGGAATGATCTCAGTTAGCTGTTATTGCTAAACTGCAGTAAATAGCGGCGCACATGATTTGGCTACTTCAGAACAATGTAATCATTAGCAGATTGTCAGTTAATCAGCAATACCCGTGTTTCCGCCTCTTTTCATGTGGCAAATTACTCGTTCCAATGACGCACTTGGAAACCCGACGTTGAGTCTGCTCCAGATCAGTGACATCGTGCTTCAGTTTTGGTTGCATTGCTTGAATTGCTTGTTCTACATGGTGGTTCTCAGCTTGCAATGCCGTTTCCGTTTGCTTAGAACAACCCATCATCCCGAACCAATGACGTAGGTCGCGTTCGACGATAGAGAACTGTAGGGTCTGCGTTTCGAACCTATAGATGTAGAAGCTGTGGTATCGTATGCAGAATATATTACACGCAGGTAGTCACCCCGCCTACGAGAATGGAACCCTTCAGATGCGCAGCTGTCGAACAGATTATGAACTTTTTGAGAAATAAGCGTTGTTATCATCAATAAATCGTAGTATGTCACGAAAGTGGAAACTGATCTCGTAAGTGTAAGCAAGTCTCAGACTGATACGACATAGTACAACAGCGACATAGCGGAGAAACAAATCCCATCGCGACGCGACTGGACTTTATCTTTATGCGATGGTTTACCTACCTTCGTGACCTATTGAGCTTCGCTCGGTGGCACCTTCTAGGTGCCACCAGGACTGCTCATACCAAACGTGTCAATGGTTAGGGGTCCGATTAACTCAGTCTCACAATCCTCTTTGAGGATTGGTAGAGGTTCATGGTCCTCTTCCCTTAGAGCAACCACGGGAGACAACAGGTTTTAGAGTATCTCACAGCTCGATTGGCGTAGAGCACGAGTGCCACGCATTGGCTCTGATCGTGGGAGTGCAGCACGCGGTGCTTAATGGTTTGCTACCTACTGTTTCAATCCAGGCAACTCCTGGCGAAATAGGTGCAAACCCGCCGATTCCCACATGCGGTTGCCCGTGGCCGCACATGAATTGCCCTAGGTCCTCAAAGGCTGTATCTGACAGGCCTCAAGCAGATCCCAATGAGACACTGCAGTCACGCTCTCCAGTTGAACTAGCTCCCCACTACATTGTGGGTCAAGCTGTTGAGCCAAAAGTTCTGGGTGGAGCCACTCAAGTGAACCTCCATATACGTGACCGCGTTGTGGGTCAGACTGTTGAGTGAAAGGCTAGAGGTAGGGCATCTCAACCAACAACCCTCTTCCGAAATGAGCAGTAGGAGAGTATAAACTGCCCTCTCGACCAGGTCGCCAACACTTTTTCTCCTCTACAAGTACCACTCTCTTCCCCGTTTATTACGCAAGGGACTATCACTGACTTCGTAAATGAAGCTATCAAACCGAGATTCCCATTTCTCAATGGTTCATTTGACGTCCAC